AGGTCAACCTCAAAGAGGTAACAGGGCAAGGTTTAGCCCTGGTCTCAAAGGGAAATGACTGCAGAGCTGTTTCACTGCAGCCTGCTGTGGTGACCTACTGTATATTGATGAGGTAAGGAACTATCCCTATACACTAGGTTCCTCAGAAAATAATTAAAAGAGAGTGAGTTCTGTAATGAAAATTAAACTGAGGATTGAGTGCTTCCACTTGACATCAGTCCTTTTGTTAACAATGGCCCTCAAGACCAAAGGTTAAACCCTTTACTTAGTCATAGACATAATAAATAAACTATTTGGCAGTTTTGGTTCACACAAAATCAACATTTGGGATCAACAGTTAATCTACTTTTACTCATTTGACACGTAGCAATAAAACTTTAAAAAGCTGTTTAAAATGCTATTGTGCAAACGTCTGTGGTAATTGGCATTGCAAGGTGGCAGATTTGATTATTCCTTTTCTGAGTAATTCATCTGAAATAACAAAAAGCGGATTTCACTTGAATAGAAATATTTAGAATATGCAATACATTACTAGCATTCCAAGTGGTCTTAAAAAGTAGGTCTCTTTTTATTATTGTAGGTGTAAGCAGCTAGAACATGAAATGTAATTTCAGGACAAAATCATAAGCAATTTTAAGCAGCAATGAAGAATTTGCAGTATCCTTTACATTGTGTGTGCATCACGCAGCATCATTCACTCTTTAAATTGGGTTTAGATTAAACAGCAATATTTTGAATCACCACCATCATAGAGAGAATCTTTGGATTTAGAAATAAGAAGAGACCTTCTTCATAACCACCTAAGACATTTGAAAACTGACAATAAGCACATCCATTTTTTTCCAAGAATAAAAAAAAAAATACATACAAATAAAGTACTAAAAAGTATACCTACAAGCTACTTCAAAAACCTCTAAGATACAGATTAATGAATGGCTCTTTGCTTTATACTAAAAGCTCACTACTTAAGGCTAAGGCATTAATTTGAACAAAAAATAGGTCAAAGAGATACAATACCTTTTTTAATATTATCCAAATAGTCTGCATTAAAAACAAAACATGCCACCATTGAGAAAACATATTCATTTAAATATATATATGATGAAACGAGGGCACTGCTGAATACTGACAAGGACTAGGTTGCCTGGGCAGATAAGGGAATAATGAAATAATTGTAGAAGAAAAATGTCTAAAAATATGAACTCTGAAATTCTACCAAAGGACATTTGCTGTAAAAAAGCAATGCCAGTTGTGCAACAATGGGTCAAAATCACCGCGTGATACAAGGTCGAACAATTTCTCATGTACCTCACATACTGAAAAGTGAGACATCTGTGTTGGTGAGGGCTAGAGATGGGGAATTCTGTGAACTTTTAAAGCACAGTTTTTCTGACTTTGCAGACTGAAACAAATTCTGTGTTCATTAGCACAACTTTGGGTAGGGTATCTTGATAAATGGGGTTGGGAAGTAAACCAAAAAATCTTCCAGTTATGAGAATAAGCATGTTTTCTTCCTGTCAACTAAGAACACAGTTTTCTCAATTTTATCAAGTAACTTTAAAACAGCAAAGACAAAAAGCCAACTTTGTTGGGATCTTATGTCACTATATTAGAAAAGGTACCCATACAGAGTGCTGGGATACCCCTTGTTCAAGGCTTGGCTTTATATTATTGTATCATTCTGCATTATCACTGTATAAGATTGTATCAATTTTCTCCAATACTGCCAGGGTGACATGGACTCCAGCTGGCAAGATTGTTCTTGGTTTGATTTAAAAACACAACTTTGCTGGGCACTTATGAACATTCAGTGAAGGAGCTGCATCACTTTTACAAGTGATGATATCTGCTGTAGTCACTGAGATTCACGGTGTGAAAATGGCAGATGGCTCAAACAGTGCATGTTCCAGGATAAACTGGCATGGTCCTCTTCCCCCCTGTATTAAGTTGATATTATGGATGTAAGCCAATTTTAATAACAATTGCACGGTACAGATTGAGTAAATGTAAATGGAAGTGATTAGAAAAAGACAGAAATCTCCACTGCAGAGAATTGGCACCTATCTTCCAGACCCATCAAAAAAGACAGTTAAGTAAGAAGTGACCTAAGATAGTTAAATACATTTCTAAACCAAATATTTATAAAATAAACAGATGATTTTGAAAAACAAGAAAAACATAATTAACATAGATTTTCATGACATGTCAGAGCATTATCAATTTTTATGAGTAAATGATGTTTTGAAGATAAGATTTACAGTACAAGTTTTAAATATTTTAAATAAATTTGTTTAGAATAAACATACCAACCAAAAATGGAAAAAAGCTAATTATGCAATAAAAGTGGAGTCTAATATGTCTATTGCAGTATAACACTATTGACAATACTTCCATGGATTTTATGAGGTGCATTTTAAATGCCAAGTGGATGAAAGTTATATGAGTCACATAAAGCACACCCTATAGGTAGATACTTTGGCAGCTCTTAAAAATAAATGCAAATTCGATCTCTATTATTGAAGAGTGCTCATACTGAGGTCTTTCATGATCCATTAGTTGAAGCGCACAGAATTCAGAGGGGAAATGTAGCTCATCTGGAAAATAGCCAGGATAGTCCATATTGAATATGTAATGGAAAAAGACAATTCAGAGACACTCAGAGAGAAGTACCTCTTTGTGGTTTATAAAAGGCTAGAGGCTTGTATGGATTATGTACATGTTTGGGCTAACTGTGCACTCATGGCAACAGGATGTGATGTCTGTGCTTGGCTCTTTGCTTCTTGAGCAAGAGGAGGCACTTGTATATGAGTCCTTACAAAACTGTAACTCTCCATGCATCTAGTCTAAAATTCAGGCTCTGTTAAAATCATGAGCTTTTGCGAAGCTAGTGGTGGTTGCAAATGCATCTTCTAAGTGAATGGAAAGTACATCTGATAATCCATCTGCATCATTGTCTGCTCAGTTCATTCCTGAGATACAACATGGACACTCAATACATCCAACCTTTTCATTTTTTAAATAAAAAAACAAGGGCAAAGCTAAGACGCACCTTAAAGGAACAATATATGCCTGCAATGCCTCTGTTTTTGCTTGTTCTGAAAGTGTTATCAGCAAGAAACACTTCTGACTTCTGTTGTAACAGTACTGAGTGAATACAGTATTTCTACTGACGTTTTAAACACACTGACCTTAGTTAATATTGTGTCAGTTGGGTTTGCATTAACAAACCTATGGGGGAAATTGTCAGAAAGAAGAAAGAGGAAGGATCTTGATGTATAAAACAATTAATATAAATATATATTTAATTTAGCCAATTATTTTTTTATTATACCTACCCAATTTGCGATATACAATATAAACATTCGTTTTTAAGACTTGACTTCCTGTCCACATCACCCTTACTACTTGGGGAAAAAGGAGACACCCAATATGTAGAGTGGCTTCTCCACATGCAGTGCCATTTGTTATTTAACCCTCTGCAAGCTCGACAGTACCTGAAAGGAGAGTTTGCACCTACTGGAGGAGTGGGCCTACTCTCACTTACATCACTGTTTCTCCTTACATATATTATTTGATATTTATTAACTAGAAAAGTCACAAATTCTGTTCTAAACCACTGTTTGCATTAATCTTCAACTACATCACTCATCTTTATGTTGAGTAGTTCAAGTTCATCGCATACCAGGGAAAACTGGCTCGTGGTAGAAATCTATTGAATGATAGTGTCTCTAGGCATAAGCAAAGAATTTTATTGACCATGTCAATTCAGATACACTCCAGAGTTTATCTATGTTTTACCACTGCAGAATACATTAACCCTTACAATCAGATGCTTTCAATTCAAGCCTCAAAGGAGAGATACTGTGCTGCTGCCTTAGGCAAATTTTGGATGAGATGCAAACTTCCACTAGAAGCTGTATTCATAACACATTCAATAGGAGCTCACTCAGAGGAATGAATGGTAAACACAGCACAACGAATCATAGATGGCTTGTCAATACAAACGAAGCCAACCTTGTAGGGTAATTTTATTTATCTGTTCTGGCAGCTGTTTCTATCCATAATATTTTTTTATTTGTAATTAAATCTCACGCAGTAATTTCTGGTTGAGATACTACATAAAGAGTAGCAAAAGTTTATGTTTAAAAAGGATAGAAAATGAGGGCTGTTATTTTCCACTGGAAAAAATGGTACATGCTTTATCTGAAAGAGTTAATATATCAGCTTTTATACTGATTTGGGGAAATAAACATTAAAAGCCCTATTTTTAATAGGAAATATAATTGGAAAAAGTTAAATTATACTCCATATTGTACACAGAGCATCGGATTTAATTAGACATTTGGAGGAAGGCACTTAGGGCAAGTGTGTGGCATTTGTTTTGTACACAGAAGTACACTAGGGTGTAATTTATCTAAATGATAAAGACTGAATAACATCAGTGTTTACATATTTAAAATGTAAAAACCCTGTTGAAACTCATACACTTAAGTGTTTTTTTCACATTCTGTCTAAACTGTCTATATCTCTGCGCATATATGTGAAAACTGATAACATAATATTATTTTTTCTTGTCCGCTAGTTTTAAACATGGTGATAAGACATAAGAAGAATCTTTCTTAGATAGGCTTGTTCATGCTGTCTGCAGCTTAATTCGTTACAACATGGGTTTGAATTTCTAAATTGCCTGAGGGAGAGATAACTTTATCTCTGAGCGAGGTAGGCACACACATACGAATGTTTGTGTTAAGGCTGAATAATAACAAGCTGAACTGTGTTTTAGCTGACAGTATGCCTGAACAATTAGCATTCATCACAAGAGAAAACTGAAAAGCTGTTCCACGAAGGCTCTTGAGTTGAGCCTTAAAACAAATGGGTGAAATGCGAAGAGCAATTTCTGTTTGACGAGACCTTTCCACGACCACAGGCATTGCAAACATAGACTTGTCCCTTCAAGACCCCATGAAGAAGATTGATTTTTAAAATAAAATAGTAAGTGCCTGATCTGTTGCTTGGAGTTTGCCTACCGATGGTGCAGTGTTCTCCATTCCAGCCCTGCTCACATTCACACTTTCCATCTTTGCAGGTGCCATGTTTCACGCAGAGGGGATTGCAAACGCGCTGGTCACATGCCATCCCGGTCCAACCTTCTTCACAGCGACATACTCCACTCATGCACACACCATGGGTGCCACAGTCAACGGAGCACACCTCTGTAAAAAGCAAGAGCACTTTATTTACAAACACACTCCAAAAAAACTCAACCCAGCCAAGTGAAGAGCTCTCACGTTGTAGAGCTCATTGTACTGTATATACATCTAGGGATTCAATCCAGAGCTCTAGAACTCGTAAAGTGTTCAACAAAAACAACAGGGTGTCGGGGATGCGGGGAATTCTGTTTGTGGGGCAGAGCCACTGTCGTGAAGCTACGGATTTAATCATCACCAATTGCTCTGCTTGGCTAAAGAATACAGCAAAAGCTACACTGGCTGGATTCTTTTCTGCCCACCAGATTGAGAAATAGAACTTGGAGATTAAAAAATTGTTGTGTGAATTGTCTTTACCCTTTCCAAATTGTCACAAATACAAAATAATTGACTTTATTTCTCACGAATTAATATAACTTCAACTCCCACGTTTTTCTTTACCTACCTTAAAACTCTAGTGAAGTCTGTGTGCTAAAGCAAAAATAATGTAAATGATATAAAAAAGACTTTAACTTCATTTGTGAAGTTAAAACTTCAAATTTCTTAAAAGAATTATACATACATTAAATGAAATGAAATTCTGTTCTCTGAAATATTGTATGTTTATGACTATAATTAGCAAAGGACAGTGAATGGTTGTTTCATGAGATGAACTTGTATGATTTGACTGGTAGTAATCAATTAGTTCTTCCTTAACTTCAGATATGCGCTAATGCTATTTGAAAGGCTGTATGACTGAATACGTAAAGAGTTTTCAAATTCCTTTGTTTTCAGAACTGACACACTGTACAGATCTTTTAGATTTGGAGAGAAGGCAATTTATCTGACGACTCCTACAGGGAACAAAAAGAAATTGTTGCAAGGCATTTTCTTTACAGCTGCGTTCAGATATTCATTGAGCTTAATTTTCTTTCGTTGGGACATCAACTCTTTTTTATTTTCTTCACCATATTTCATTTTTTTCCCCACATCCTAAAGAAAACATACTGTATACAATGATACACCAAGGAATGTAACCATCAGCATGATTTAATTGGTTAGGAAGTCCTTCAAAGTTTGCTGACTTTTGGAACTCTTCACAATGTAGTCTCAGACCATTGGAAATTATCTTTTCTACCAGAGCCCATTTTTGAAACAACTAAACCTTCCAATCCATTCCAATGGAGGGCCCCACTAATTTGTTTATTACATCCTACAAAAACAAACATGGTCAGACTAAATCCTAATTCTTCACATGTTCCCCCAACTCCCTACTAAAGCAATGAAAGTGTTTTTAGATGCATTGTTACTGTCTCATTATTTGAAATGCACTGCTGAGTACAGATGGATGCAGCTCAGTGTCTATTTGCTCAAAGGCAAACATTCCCTAAATGTGACAGATGTCCCCTGCTGGCCAGATGGGCTTATGGCAAATACACATACACAAGGACAGTGATTTCAAATCTATTACAGGGGAATTTTCTCTTTGGCTGTGGCGTAGCTGAAGGTACACAGGACATGAAAACAATCAGATTAAAGGTGATTTCTTTATAATGCGCTAAAACCAACCCCTTTTCAGAATCCCAGTCACTTCAAATGGATTTCTGCTCATTGTGAATTCTCAGCTGGAAAGGGTATGTGTACATTTCCAACAATCTATTAAGAGATGATCACTGCCAAAGAAAAAAACTGCGGCAGGAAAAGAGGATTAATAGGAAGCAAGTCCTCAGAGGGATTAAGGGTTATTTCTGCTTTCCAGCATTCTTGTGAACTTCGGGGAACGTCTGTTTTTCTTTTTGTGCAGGAAACTCAGGTTTGAGCGACACTTACCCACAGAGCAGTCAGGTCCCATCCAGTTGGGGTCACAGCTGCAGAGGCCAGTGTCGGGGATAAAGGCCCCGTGGCCATTGCACTGGTCTGGGCACTGAGCCCGCTGGAGCTCACAGTTCAGACCCCCCCAGCCAGGCTTGCAGTGGCACTCCCCATTCACACATATGCCATTGTTTGAGCAAGTGGGGTCCAAGCAATCCACTGCAAGACATTATCCAGACAGAGAGAAATCATCCATCAGAATAAAACGGCTCGCATCAGTTTCAGGCTCACGAAGTGCTTTAGCAACCTCAAGCCGAGCCAGGAGTTTTCAGCATAAAAAAACACAACCGTTTTTTTTTTAAATGGTCCTGAACTGTCAGCAGACTGCAAACACATAATGCATCTTCAGAGCGTTTAGAAGTGTGAAACGGGTCCTGAAATAAAACAAGTGCTGTTGTCTTTTGGGTTTAATCCTGCGAAGGTTAAACCTCCTTTTTTTATTTTTTAACCATTTAATTTAAGAGAGGACAAGAAAATAATCCAGTTATCGCTGAATATTCTGACACATAAAACTTCATTACTTTATTAAACAATTCTCATTACTCCCACGAATTCTATTCAGCTTAATTGTAGAAGCATGACAAAGTGTGGAATTTACAGCTATGACAAATATAATCAAAGTTGTCGTTATCAGAGCATTTTTTCACATCAATACAACTGACTCTGCTTCCAATATGAATTAATTACACCTTTATAGCATTCATCAAAGAAAGGAATCTTCATAGAATTATAGTATTACTTTCATTTTACAAGTGCTCACAGCTCCTACCCAATGGATTACAGTGCGTTTCATTACTTCAGATATGGTGTAAGCTTCAATAGCACTCCTACATCACAGTTGCAACTAAATCTTTAGTTATTTTCTCTCCCAAGTAAATGTCATTTAAATTCATACTGCCCATAAAATTGACAAGAAAGTGAAAAGCTATCTATATACTTAGAGTGAAAGCCATGCGTCAAATATTTCTCACCCTCACCCCCCCTTCACCTACAGTACACTTCAACTTTGGTGACTACCTCTGACAAAATACCTCCCATTTCATTTTCTTGTGACAAAGTCATTAATAGAACCAGCTTCTGTTTATGCTGCAGAAATTACAGATCAAAAATATCGATTTCAGTGTCACTGTGTCTTCAGGTAAATTGTTTGAGTGACTCCGGAGCAATGAATATTAGATATAAAAACCCTGCTGTAGCACAAGAAAAAAAAAACTGCTGACCCTGTCTCTCAACCCTTCACCCCTTCTCTCCGTTGAGTTTCATTTCTCTTTCTCTAGCTGAACTTTTAGAAAACAACGTATGAATCAACTTCAGGCAATTCGTCTTAAAAGCCTGATCAATAAAATAGATTTCAACCCTTAATAAAATTTCTGATGTATTCGCTGCAGTTTTGTGCTTATCCTTCATCTAGGAATAATATAATCCTTAAGTGGGTATGATAGAGAATTCCCAAGAAGGCACTAGTCATTATGGATTTACATTCAATGTTTAAAGCAATTTTGCTGAATCAGAACACTATAAAAGTTACCAGTAATGGCAAAGATCCCATTGCCTGGAGAAATTAGCTCCTTTTTTATTTATAGAAAATTGCATGGATAAATCACTTGAGGAAGATTACTCCCCATAGTTCAGTCAATGAGAAGAACAGAACTTATTGCTGGAATAGAAACTAATTACAGGGCTGCCTCTCCATCCCCTAAAAACATAATAAAAAAACTGAACACTTAACAGAGACGTTTTTGAAGAATGTTTGGAGCTGCCATCGATAAGCTTCTCACCGTGGCTTTGGAGAGTAAAATTATATTTCAGGATTAGCAGCTAAAGGTATCGACAAAGTATGGATTAGCGCTTTGTCTGCTGTTTTACTCAAAGGTTAAGTTTCACATAAAACAAATTAGTAAATGTGATTTTCACCATTGTGCTTCAAAGAAGAATATTTATCATGAGCAAAATAACTTGATTAAAGAGAGAAAGGCGACGCAGCAGGAACTGCTGTGGTTGGAGGCTGCGATAAGTGTCCCGGCTTTCAGATCTATTACGCTGGGCCTGGGTTTTTCCCTTTATGTTCATGATGTCACAACCCACAAAATTAATTAAACAGTACTGTTGATGCTACACGCTTTAGGCAGAAAACACTTATTTATATTCCTACAGTGTTACAAGATGTAAAAAGAAACTAACCCTGCTTTTACAATGAAATGTTTTGAAAAATGAAAAACCTAAACAGGAAAATGAATCATTTGGAAAATATCTTAAAAATCTGCTATTTTGTCTATTTTTTCCATCTTAGCGTTAAACTGTATTAAAAACACATATTTTATTGTTTCCCTGTCTCTTTCAGCACTAGGAATGTGCTCTTCTAGGGCACTAGGCGTGACCACTGTTTGCGGGAAATTATTATATGTTCAGAAATAGTGCAGAGTTTAATGTACAACAATAAATACTGTAACACAGAATGTTAACGCAGAAACATTTAAGGATTAAGTTAACATACTTCAAAAAACAAGTTACGTTAGCCACCACTTTCTGAAAAACATGTTTTAGCTGAACTCAAACAAACCTTTTCATGAAAAACAAAAAGTACAGCTGAGCACAGGGCAGTCAGTTTTAAGGTGAAAAGTAACACTGCATCTTCCATATCCAAGAAAGGAAAACTGATTATATTAAAATGAAGAAGTCAAATTTGGACCAAAAGAGAGCAGACCAAGTGCAACACAAAAATGACACATCTCTGACATGTCCATTGGAAACAACAAAGGTTCGTATCAAGGTTGCATGTTTTCATTGTAAATGGAAAACGCAAAAAGTTAAACGGTAAGATTTATTCTTTCCAAGGCCTACCTTCTCCGCAGTTCTCCCCTTTATATCCCAGGGAGCAGACACAGGTGCCATCTGTACAGGAGCCATGACCCCCACATTTGGGATCAATACACTGGTTAATGGGAACATCACATTCTGGCCCTTTCCAGCCACTGTAGCAAATACAGGCTCCTTTGTCATACTGGCCATTTCCACTGCATAAGACAGGGCAGGCAGCTGCAAAATAAAATGATAAATGAAAAACTTGGTTAGTTCATATTCCCAGGAAAGTTTGAAACCCTTCAGTCATTTATTTATATACAGTACTGTATATATAATCTACTGACAGCAACCTGGAGGTATTGATATCTTGGCTTAGGTTGAAATGAGTAATTAATAAAATACCAAATACAATCTTTCCAAAGAAGCAAAACATGTTGAATATCTTTCACCAATTAACCTATACTATATACTGTACATTTTATGTTACTCTTATATGAGTCATTTTAAATCTTTGGGCAGTAAAATATGAACAAATGGAATGGTAACAGTACAAACTTTCAGAAAACCCATCCACCTGTCCATTATCTAACCACTTCATCCATTTCAAGGTCACAGAGGAGCTGTTCCAGTGTGAGGTGGGATGAACCCTAGACAGGCCTACAGTCCATCACAGAGCACACAGAAACACACTCTCACTCACAACAGGGGCTACTTTCCCAGAAGCTAATTAACCCAGAAGTATGTCTTTGGGACTACGGGAGGAAATCAGAGCGCCTGCAGGAAACCCATACAAACACAAGGAGAACATACACGCTCCACAGAGAGAGCACCCCAGGTCTGGAATTGAACCCAGGCCCCCTGCACTGCAAAGCAGGGCTGCTAACCATTACACCATCATGCCACCCATTTTTAGAAAATACATGAAAAAATTGACATACTGTACATTATTTCAATGACAACCTGAAAATACCAATTTGTACAGAAGGGAAAACTTTACAGGGCAATTTGAGTAAAGCAGCTCGCTCAGGGGTACAACAGCAGTGTACCCGTGACACTGCTGCTGTAGCCCTGACAGCAGTTAAACCCATAACACCCCATTCCAGCATCCAAAGGATCGTCAGCTACTTCATTCTGTTGTTTAAATTGGATTATTAGTTCTCCATTCAGTCTGGGCATATGAAAGGGTGAAAGGGTTGTGTTACTTTACATGCAAAGAATCCCCATTAATGTCGTTTGAACTTCCTTAGCCTTTAATGATATACTCTGCTTCTCTGTAAGAACAGTTAAAATACGCTTTGGTCTCATGGTTAAAATGGTTTTACAAAACAGATGTATTCCACAATTTAATCAATTTGACTATAAAACTTCACTGTATGGGGTGATGACAGGTGGTACAAACAGTAGCAGTGGCCTAATGCAGGTGGTACATATTGTTGAGATAAGCTCTTGAAGTGAGAGTCTGAGATTCAGTGATGGTCTGTTTTACTAATAAAGCAAGGGATATTATAGCTATTATGCCTCCATTTCAGATGTTTTATCTCCACTAGCTAACCTAGTCAATTTTGCAATGTGGCCTGTTGGCGACCAGCAAGTAATTAACTTGCAGATGGGCCCTCTTCTGCATGCTGGACCCGGGGCAGATGTATTAGTTGCTTTCTAAATTTACATACTAAAGAGGCCTCTTTTATCATGATTAAACACTATAATAACACGACTGACAGCCCTGCACTTATGCTTAAAACCAATTTATTTTCAACTTCTCCTTCCTGGATATGGAATAGATTTTACTTCAAGAATATCTTCAAGTGCCTACAAGTGTCTATGTTTTTTGTCATCTGGGGTAAGAAATTCCTACCTATGAATGTTATAGGCCATACATGTAGGTTTATTCAAAGAGATGAGCCAGTTTAATATGGCGAGATTTAACTGGGATTATTTATTCTTACTGAATTTATCTTGTTTATATTTCTATTTCCTATACAGTATACCAATAGGGGAAAAAGGAAATAGAAAGAATATTAAATAGAACCTATTGATCACAGGCTTAATAGTAAACTCACCAACAATTATCTTTGTCTGACAGATATTATACAGTATGAAGACATTTTAAATAGTTTGCAAAGTCAAACCACCAACCCTGAAGCAAGTTGAAACCAAAGCTTACATAAACTTCTGTGCTGCATGGACCTGGGTGTCAAAGGGAGCCTCTTATATAATCTGTATTTTTAGCAACTAGCTGCTCGTAGTCCCTGTGGTGTTCCAGAAACGTGGTTCATTGCACAAACGCACTAGTGCATTAACCTCCCGCTTCTTAACAGTAGCAAGTTTAATCCCTCAATGCTGAGCTGGCTGGTAACTAAAATCACTGGGAGATATCAAGAAGGAACTCTCAGTCACTAAAGAAAACTTTGTTATTAATTACAACTGCCTTTTGCTTAATTAACGAGGGTGGTTGTTTCATTTGAGTTTTCTTCCTTCACAGCAAGACTGTTGCTACTGGTGAAGCATGCTGGTAAATAGTGTTTGTGTCTCGATTGTTAATTACGTACCACAGTTTCATGGAAGAAAAAGACACAAATGCTTAGAAATAACAGAAATAATAAACATTATTTAAAATGTAGCATTATTATAATATTTAATTCATATTTAACATTTTTATATGTGTGACACTGTGTAGTGGAAGCTGTGCTCATTTCACAAATATATAAATAATAAACTTAAGGATATACTGTACACATTAGGATATCAGTAAGAGTTTAATAAATTACTTACAATACTAGTATACTAGAAGAAAACAGCTTTTTTTTCTGATTTTCTCTGAACCCTACACTACACTGTTAAATAAACATCTTAAATAAGGAAAAGCCAAATTTCAGCATACTTGCAAATTAGAATTACTTAGTCAATGTTTTTTTAAGTACAGTATTCTGTTTTCATGTACAGTATTTCATAATATTTAGTTTTAAAGGGAGCAGAGATTCTTCTCTTTTAAAGAGAAGGGGCATTTGAAAAACCATACAAACAGCTGAGACCTCCTCAGGATTTGACACATTACCCATGGTCTATTCTTACGAAACCTCCCTTGGAGAACACTGCATATGTATAATGTATCATAGACTTTGACCTTTTATCTGTTGAAAGTCTCTGCGCGTTTCTTTTAGGAAATAAGGATTTTTATTAATGAGCAGTGACTGATACTCATGATAAGTGCTGTGACAGTTAAATGTGGTCATGGAGTGTTTCATATAGTTTTATGAGTTAATAATAATAAAAATGCCACATATAGCCATATGAGAAACACATTGTGTGTAGTAGGCATACTACTTAGTGTGAATATGATTAATGCTGTTTTTTTTTCATTCCAATTTTATGGTTCTTTTTTCCCTACTGCACACTCCACAATTTTGACCTCAGCCTTTGCCTTAATACATAAAACTCTAACCAGGATATACCTGGAGGCGGTAGAATCCTGTACAGACCAATTAAACTTAGAAAGCTCTCTCCTTCTCTCTCTTATTACAAATGTAGTATCCTTTCACCTTCTGAAACTTTACTGTAAAGTACTTTTTATTTTAAAGCACTGAACGTATTACCTACAAACCACTCTACAAAATCACTGACATATACAGTATGCTGAGTCAGAACAAGTTAAGGTCACTGGGGTTATACAGCATATACACGGACAAAGCATACGTTAATCACTTTTAAACTGTTTTATTTCACCATATACCATACGAATTGTGGACTCCTGATTAACCCTACAAGGACAAGATTTTGTTCATCATGCATGTTATACCTGATAAAGCCTAAAGGCATTTCTAACTTGGGTCTGGACTATGCTATATCATTAGCCAGTTGAGGCCAGGAATCCCCAAATGGTGGAACATAATTTGTCAAGCACTACTGTGGTTGGCTGGGTGTGACTGGCCACAATGTCATGACCAGGGCCTGGGTCATGCTGGTAACTGAGAGTTTGCAGGTTTGTCTGTGAAAGTGACATTGCTCCTCCAATCAATACTCTTCTGCAGGTGCCAAGTGACCCACTGCATGGAAATATGTGGATATCTCTGAACCAGGCATGTTTTTGAAGGACAAACCATCTGATCTTGATCCTGCTTATGTTTACAGGAGAGGTAGAAGTAGAGCCAAGCAGATAAATAGATTATCTGTCTATCCTTTGAGATTGCATACAATCTACAAGACAAACATTAATGGCTTAAAAATAGTGGAGGGACTCATACCTGAGATCTGGTATTTTGACATGTATTTAATATTTTTGAGCAAAGCATTCCTAATGTGTTTCCAAAGTAATAATCACCTCATGATTTTAATGTACCAGTCAGAATTCTGTCACAATCTGAACTGCCTGAAAGGGGACCTAGAAATTAAAAAAAAGGTTGCCAAATGCATATTGTGAAGGTAGCTATACTTAACATAATGTACTATTCTTCAAACTAACTATTTGTATGCAATTTGTATCTTGTCTGGGCTCCTGGCTGTTTTTTTAGGCTTATCAATTAATTTTATAATTTGGTATGTTCAGGTGTTGTCAGGATATTCTGTATTTAACAGTAGAAAGAATTCATGCAAACATAGCAATTGCTGGTATCATTCAATCTGGACAATCACTAGGAGTAACAAAAATCACTCTCTCTATCCCTTACTATCAGTTTAATTTTACTATATGACTACCTACTGTATGTATACTTCTTACATAACGAACACTGTAATAAGATTTCTAAGTTTTCAAAAAACAAAAAGTCAGAGCAAAAAAGTACATTGCTAAAAGATCACTGAGGTTACATCAATCACAAAAAACTAGGTCAGCAAGTGTTAGGAGTAGCTCTGATGGAACGATATCTTGTACAAGCTGGCCTGTCATCGGTGTTCAGAGGTGTGAAGACTACTGATGTTGTGCTTTAAGGAGGAGAGAGAGACAAGGGAGAGATATTTCTAGATGCTGTCTTTAAAGGTAGCCTTCTAGAGGTTTAATTAATCTAGGGTGTATTTAATTACATTAGAAAAAAAGATCCAACACACGCTGAGCTGTGTTAAACACCCTGACACCTCCCTCCTCGGAGATCGATGGAATTAAAAGTATACAGATGCTTTAATTAAAACTAGGAAAGTTACCGCACATCACAAGAGGGGGGGGATCAAGTCTTTGATTAATGAAAATAATTTAAATTACCTGAAGCAATGTGGCCTTTCTGTAATTTGCAGCGATATGATGTTTTAACTATCAAAGGTCAAGTTACTACTTAGCTTAAGAGCTTGTTTTCTAATTCTAGTTAGCTAGAAGCTGGTCCATAGCAGTAGAATATTTAACATAGTCAGAATAAATATATTCTTTATTCCAGGTGCCTTGGGGGTTGAAACAATTAATCTTAATTAACTGTTCTTAAGGCTAACTAGTACATAGTTTTTGATACATCTCTACCAATAATGTAAAATACTAGTCATACTTTGTATTTCAGTGGGGAAAATTTGTCAATAATAGCTTCTTTCAGGTTTAATGAAATACCAAGTTTTAAAACCTGAAATCACTAAGTTAAAAAACAAAAAAGAAGACATCCTAAAGTAATTCACTTTCTTTAAATGTTAGTTCTTGAACTTATCTTACAAACGTCATGAGGTCATTTTTACCGCCTGTACCCAAAGAGGGAAAAAGCACCTTTCGTTTTTGTCACTCACTATTTCTGTCTTCTCTTGTAACAATCATTCATTTGATCGTTTTCCAAAGTGAACATGAGCCCTTCTCATTTACGGCTGACCTAATCCCGCCAGCTCAAACATAAAACAAAATTGCTGCGATGTCAGTTAAAAAATGTAATTAAATGTAATTTAACAGCAGGATAACCCAACAATTAATCACCCAGCTCCCTGATGAACAATAGAAGATATTGGCTCCCTGACCTCCTATATATCATTACATGAATAGTTCATGGCCTTAGGCATTATTTTGCACTGTCAGTCAAATCACTCTCAAAGTAATTAGTTTCTATTCCATAACAGAAGGAAAGCAATTATTTGTAGAGAGATATACCATTTTGGTTTTTTGCCCTTTAATATTTTCACAGGTATGTTCCTACTCCATAGTGGCAAAATTCTCTCCAGTATCAATTACTCATCAATGCAAATAAAGACAGAGAATGGTAATGAATAGTCATACATTACTTGTGAATCATAATAATAACCACATGTTCATTTTCTTATGCCTTTATTTATACCATATCTAATAGGCCCCAGTAATAAACAACATTATCTACCTTTGCTGTATTAATTATGTACCATGATTGTTCCAAAAAGAAAAAAGGCAATTCTTGACATGTCAATATGCATTTCTGTATCTGAATACAATAAAAAGCTAGGATTTTTATTATTAATTTTGTTTTTGTTTATGCTTGAGATTAAAACAAGACAGCATATTGTTGACTCTCACCATAGTTAATGTCATATTAATAAACTTCTGTGGATGCTTTCACTATTTAAAAAAACCCCTATTCATCACATTTGTGACATTCATGGCACTGTAAAAAGAGCTACAACAACATGAGAGCCTGCCACTAGGTCCAAACAGCCTTTATTTCCTGAACTTAAATGAACAAAGTAATTTTGATACTGGACTGCAATATAAAATTAGTTATTTTTTCAATAATTATACAAAGTGGCAAAAAATGAAATTTGGTGCCTAATATTGCTCCAGTAATTATTGTTACTATAGCCTGTTATAGCTCACACTTCACATACTCAGACATCCAATTTATAGTGATGACTAAATTACTTACTAAATGTGCAGGTCCACCACAATGGTACTGACAGGATAAACACAAGTCTGGAAGTTGGAAAACACTGTCAATTTACACCTACATTTCCAACTGGTGTCAAACATTTGGTGGCAACACAATAATAATAATTTTATTTTTGGTACCTATTTTCCCTCTCCGTCATCAAGCTACTGTTCATGAACTGAGTGATGACAGCATGTTAGTGTTCAAGAATACTCAAAATATCTTGCTATCAGAAATTATTGATGTTAAAATTGTGTTTTTTTTCAGATTCATTTTGTTTTTAGAATACTAAATGCATCTTGAGGTTAAATTTTGTCAGCTGAAACCTCACTGGAGTGTCCCCCTGCTTCCTTCCTACATGATTTTATAACGAAAGTGATAACACTTTCACCCTCAAGTAATATGAAGCTGCCATTATTTTTAAAGGTAATTCTCAGGATGCCCCGATCTAAATGTAGCCCAGAGGGTCTCCCTTGTGCTCTGAAAGAAAAATGTTGATATAATTCATTTGAGGGCAATTTTGTTAGAGTGTAAGTTGATCTAGTAGGCTTCCTTGTCGATTTCCCTTTTCTGTCTCTGTGATGTTCAGGAATATTTTTCCTGACAGGTAACATACAGTCAAAAACAGGCCATATTTTTGTATCAGGCTCACATAAAAGAAGAGTAAATGAAACCCTCTGACTGAATATAGTATCTTACTTTGTGAGTGGAAAGAGTGTCACGTGTTTTTAATGACAATTACAAAGATGAAACAGACGTTTATCTTCAATTTCAATTTGCTGAAACAGATACTTTAATTCTTTGTGGACTATTACAAGGGATCACTCATTATACTGTGTCAGAAATCTTTTTTTTTATTCCAACAAACCTTCTCCTTCTGTTTATAGCAGGCAGAGATGAATGAAGGATAAAACAAAAGCATAATGCAGCACTACATCAAAAGAGTCTTAGATTGACTTGGCGGGCTGATATTCTGTCACTCCCAGTGTCTGAGATCTCCTCAGTCATGGTGAGTCATCCAGTCAAGAATTTCACTCCACTCAGTAATATCTAGCGTCACATCTGAGCTTCAGTTTCCTCTGAAACAGTGGAAATGACAAGCACAAGCTTTTACAAACACATTGCAGAGCTAGTAGAGACATCTGCCATGGCACTCCAACAGCACCAGCACAGTTCCTGTGAGCTAATCCTTTGATCTCCTAAACACCATAGAGTAAGAGGGGGCACACTGAAGCACATAAACATGCTGATTAGAGTTTCCACACTTTTTAAGTAAGCCAGAGCTTTCTCAGCTCTCTACGTGCCAAAAAGGTGCAAATTACCCATTCTCGTCCAATAACAATTAAAAGTCAGTCAGCAGATGTGGTTGTATTCTAATTAAAGCCTTGAAAGGCCTGCCAGTATTTAGATGCTGATTAATTTATTTCCTAATTTATTTTTTATTAAATGTTTATTTCAAAACACATAATCCATTAAAGTATACACACACAAAGGCTTTAAGTGGTATAAGCCTATATCAAGAGCTTCACTAAACCTTTGATCTCAATGACACTTAGAGCTTTGAATGCATGGCTGATGCTTCTGTAACCTTCAACAGGGCACATTGAGTCCTGTATTATGAGCAATGACGCTTTTCCACATAAATGAGAAAACACCAGCTGAGGCAATCAGAGTAAGTCAATGATATTTCACATTATACATCAGCTTTCTGCACACTGAGTTAACTGAAAACAAGCACTGTACAGAACTAGTACAAAGTCTTTTGTTAATTGATTAATTTAATTTAAGCTCTATTATTACCCCCTTAGGGAAATTTGTTTTGTGGCAGGATCCAATACAACAATACAACAAAAAAGACAAAAAAAAGCTCAGAAATGCAGATTAAAGGTTATCGACTGAGTTAGCAAATTTCTACAAAACTGTTATTCCAATCACCATTACATAATATAAAAAGGAGATCTGGTGCAATTATATTGCACTTCCAAAATGCAACAGCTAACACAAATAAAATTAAATATAAGAATTACCGTACGTACCAACAACAAGCCTAAAGTAAGGGAAACTGAGCATTGATATAATGTTCACCAACAATATCTCCAGCAGAAAACACTGCACTGCTTCCTTTAGCCCTAGTTCATTTGTTCGATTACATGATAGGATAACTACAAGGCTATTTTTGACATTCTTTACACTAAAATGAGAACAGCAAATATGTTCAGTGACGTTCCCACCCATAGCAACGAAAATGTTAAAGGGATGATTCTAACATTACTGAAGCTATCTATTTTCAACAAGATACACTGCAAAAAGTTTAATTTAAATTCAAGCACTTCCTGCCTTTTTTAAAATGTTATAAAATTACTTAAGCTTTTTCGTCGTTTCAGAAAAAGCAGTGCTTGTTAACAGAGAGAGAGAGGATGAAGGTTCAGCTGAAGATTGCAATGGACAGAGCAGGAAAGCTAATGTACGTTCCAGTAGTATGGGTGTAGGGGGGCTGTTTGAGCTGTCTTTCACAAAGCTCATCAAAATGAAATGCAGAGTACAATAAACTGCAAAGGACGGCAGAAGTAGAATGCTCAAAAGGGTAGTCACAACAAATGTTCAGTAGGAATTGAGATGTGGAGACATCATGGGCAAAAGCTTCTCCTATGGGAATTTCTGCCTTTTTGCATCACATACTTGCCTCCCAAGATTTGTTCTGTGCAAGCAATAAAATTCAACAAGTTAGGCTAAGTACACATGTGCAGATTTACCTCTTTGGACCTTAAGACAAACTCTGTTACTGGATATTTGCAGTTCAAATGTTTGAGTAGTTCTTTTTGAAAATTAGACATTGCCAGAATCTCCTAAGGTCAGCTTATCGGCTTTAGCCACAGAATCTGTGAGAGCCTGAGGAAGAATTACAGCACATCACAAAAAAAAATGTGCGGAAAACAGAACAAAACAAAAGGAAGAACATACCGTTGTATTTGTATTTTAAAAAATGATGTCGTCCTGGGTGTAGGAAGCCACATAAAGGAAAATGAAAAAAATAAGTAAAAAAGAAAACTCCACACAAAAGTAGAAAATAGATATTTAAGTTAACAAAGCACCACCAAGAAATCAAACATTAATTTGAATCAAATGAAAAATAAAATACTGCACACATTTTAAGGAAACCTTTGTAATCCTTAGGGAGGGAAAAAAAGCCACCCACTATATTTTTTAATATCTTCTGTAATGATTTTCTATTAGTACTGTAGTCCTTCAATTTATTCAATTTGCTATCCTAGTTTTCTGAAAATTCCTTCTTACATTTAAATTAATTGGGTTTTTTTCTTTCTTTCAATTTGTCAGGGATTAGGATGTCAGTACAAGTATTACAAATCTGGTAAAAACTCAGATTAGGGGTTGTAAAATATATTAAGACACTACAAGATGGATTATGTAAAGTAAGCATTAGTAGAGTGTCATAAAGTCGGTAGTAGCTCACCTCTCCTCATGGTTAACTGCATGTTGATAACAAATGCATAGATAAACACACTGGTCATGTTTTATTCAGTGTTAGTAGCTTGTTTTATCAAGTGTCATTTGCCACCCTTGAACTAAACTGTTACCAATAATTACAGGTGTGATGGAAAACTTGCAGGTGAAACCATACCTTTTGAGCAGTCAGTCCCATGAAATCCTGGGAAACAGTGACAGACCCCAGAAACACATTCCCCATTGCCATGACAATTCCTGGGACACTCCTGCACAGAGTCTTCAAAACAAGAGAAACAAATTACAGCAGGGACAAGTACAATAATGCCTACTTAAATTAAACCAGTCCTCAATAATAATTGTATTGCATATGGGCAACAAAATAGACATGATTAAGTGAACCAAGGAACTTATAAAATATGCTTCTGAAGATGTACTACAGCTACAGTAGTTTCAATATAGTTTATGCAGCTGACACAGTACCTAACAGACTTCTGTGTTACAACCATGAGCATACTGCCATTGCAGATTAGCTATTTCACTAATTCACAGAGCTTTATTTCACAAGTAAAATATATACAGTATCAGTGGTGCTTTTCTCAGAGTAGTCTTTATATAATGGTAATGGGTTACCTGGCTAGTCAGAAAAAAAGGGAGTGACATTTCTGTTTCTGCTTTTAAAGATTGCTTTTCTGACCTCCATCACCACTCCACATCACAAAACAGTTAATTCTGGTGAGCAGCTATTTAGATATTATGCTGATTTTTAACACCAGACTACGTCAGGCCCATTTTGTTCTTTTCTTTCAGTTGAAAGAAAGCATTATAATGCTACTTAAAATGATTTTCTAAGTTTGAAACACCATCTAAATAAACTTGTTGCCATCCTCATTTCAACTAACGGGATTGTCACATAGCAGATTATATTATTATTATTTATTTTTTAGTGAGTCTAGAGGAGAGGTTGCCTTTTCAGGCGGCAACTAAGAGACAAAGTGAGCGAAAACAGAGGAGAAATGGTAGAGGACAGGAGTAAGTTGGAGGAGAATGTGACGTGACAGTGTGTCAGAAAAGGCTGCTGTTCAGTACAGTCCCCACCTTGCCATCTGTAGTGCTGCTAATTACATGTTCTGATTACCTCAAATCATCTGATTACCTCAAATCATCCTCCCCAGCATCAATGCAAACAGCCCCCAATTCATCACACTATTGAGTGCCCACATCACACCCCTACCTACAGTTCCAAATATTACAAGTCGGTTCTTCACCTCGCTTTAACTTTATTATTATTTCAAACTAGCAATTGTGAATTTAATTAGATTATCTGAGCTTTAGTGAGGGAGAGGGTAGGATGACTAAATGAGAATGTGAAACTGCTGACAAAAAGAATCAATGAAGTGTGACTGCAAATGTCAAAATCATAAACCAAGGTATACATTTTTTTTAGAAACATCGAGATGAATTTATTCATGTTATCATTTAATTAATCATTCTATCATTAAAGACAGCAAAAAAAAACATGCTGTTCTCTTTTTGACTAATATGGTAGTAACAGCTTTAATGTGAAATACAAAACATATCTCATTCTGCAGAACAAATAAAAGTGACAAGACCCTTTTTAACTTTTAAAATATCTGGAACCTTTAATTGATTTTTTTGTAAAGACAAATCTAAACAAAAGCCTTGAAATGCACTATTGAAGAAGTAATGACATGATTATTAACATTACAGTAATAACTCACCTCTATTTACACCCAATTAAGAACCTCATCATTTTTGTGTCAGCTTTCTTTCTATTATTTCTGTCAGTTTAACAAAGGCTGTCATCACCCTATTATTATTGTTGTATTAAAATTAATGACTTTGTGACATTTAATTAGATAAGAGAAGTATTACAACTTTAAAAGTAGGCCATTCGACAATTAATCTGCATAAGGTTAGATGGAAAGGTTATGGATATACCAGAATATAATTTGGTATGCTTAAGCACAAATAGGGAATATGCAAGCAGATAGGACTCAGAAATTGGATAACTCTCAAGACAATAAATTTATTATCCATGTTGTTGCTAACAGTATTTTGAGCCTTGGTGTGATGGATTTATGGTCTGTAAGGTCTCAAATCCCATAACTCAGCCATTATGCCACCTTGAAGTCTAATTTTATAAGATCCCAGAAGCACAGCAAGGCCTTGTTCATACAAGACAAAGGAAAACTGGGTTGTTTCTGGAAGTTGGCTTGGTGGATAAGGAAAGTAGAAGTTTTCCCTCAAAGATATTAAAGAATCCAAGGCTCATTTTTTCAAGAGTATCATTTTAGCCCTGATATTATGGATAAATCAAGTAAAAACTGATCAAATCTGGCAATTCTAGTGTCCATTTATGTCAATCAAAATTAAAAGTCTTTTCTACCAAACTGTTCCTGGAATAGTGGCACATTGGCATAAAACTGCTAACTAATCACCCCTGAGGTTCAATAGTTGAATCTAAGTATATGACTCAGTAGTTAAGCTGAAACTACATTGTAAAATACTTTAGGGTCCTGATTATGATTACAGATGGTATGAAAGTGTAAGTTGGTCTGATAAGTTCATTATCATTAGAATTATTAATTAATAATATTAAACCCATGAACTGCTCAATAACTTAGCCAATCTGTAAAGAACATTGAAATGTACAGTAGCAGAGAAAAACTGCTATATTAAGTTTACTATTTGTATTGCTATATTTAAAGGATTTTTAACTTGGTGCAGTGTGAAGACTGTTTTTAGACAATCTGCAATCAGGAAAGACTTAAGCAATTTTCTCTCTTCTGGTGAATTACATGCCTACACTGAACATCCCATTGATAGACTAGTGATCTCAAGCAACCATCACTGGCAAATGGTACTGCACTGCAAGATATTCCATTGCTTTTTTGTATATTTTTTTTAATTTAAAGCTCTGTAACAACAAGTTATATTTAAATTACCCTTAACCTGTTGACTGCTGACAAAATGAAAGTCTCTCCACCTATGGTAGGTGTTGTTTTGAAAAGACAAATTACTAAACCATCACTGGATATACAGTGCACAATATACAGTGCCTTGCGAAAGTATTCGGCCCCCTTGAACTTTTCAACCTTTTGCCACATTTCAGGCTTCAAACATAAAGATATAAATTTTTTATTTTATGT